GTCACAAGAAGAACTCCGGGGGTCCCCGTCCCAAGGAGAAATCCGGCTTCCTCGTTGGCAACGCCTAGCTAGGCGTTTAGGGACAAACCCTCCGTGGCTGCCTGCGGCCGAGGGCGACTGACTTCTTTGGATCAGGTAGGGGACCTAGGATCGGCTGGAGTGTCACGTTGGGGTCACCAATTGCTGGGTGGCGCCTGGGATACTAGTCGGTAATCAATGACACGTAAGCGACGTGTCAAATGCGGACAGCATAAAGCTGTAGGCGACTCTTCACTACGTATATTTTGCAGGCTACAAAACTAGGAAGCGAATCAACCAGAGCAAGAGACGGTGCAACAGGGTGCCCACGGAAACGCTCTGTGTCCACGTAAGTGCCGTCAGTAATACAACTGGACGTTTGGAAGGTTAGAACAACCGTAAAACCCAACGTTGATAACTACTGAAAGAGCGTGTTTGCCGGTACACTACCCATCCCACCTTCAGTACTGAATACACACGTACACAAATATAGATACACATAGGCATTTCTTACTTATGAACGAACCATTATCTCTTACAAAGTTCATATATATATAAGCATAAATCAAGCAACTTACCCACATATATACGTATCCATGTAGATATGGTTCTGTGTGTAAGCATTTGCATATTAGCATATTTGGACATACATATACAAAACGCACCATACCCACACAGCTTGATAATTCCTCGCTTACACATGCCTTTGCATAACTTCCACCTAAGATGATATAATCACATGTATACCAATACTAACATGCACCACAAACATATTTCAATATAACATCCTGCATATATATGTCCCTCTTGAGAGAAGGGGACATGTTTACACACACAGGGACCAGTAGCTAACGAGGTACAATGGTTCTAGTCACCATTTCGATTAAACGGTTAGCATGTAGCGCCTTGACGAATGCTACACAAGAAATCCGTAGCACAATAAGACAGAAGACGGCAGGATATAAAGAATGTCTTGAGAAAACAGCACAGTACAATAGCTATGTAAATATAGCCTGAGGACAGTGGGAGAAAGTGGTGAAGCAATGAGTTACACCACGTCGGAGCGCAACAGCCGGCAACGCGCGGGCAAGATGGCGGACCAAGTTCAAAAATGCAGTCCGGTATATATAGGCTTTGGAGGAGTGCAAAGTAAAACAAAATGTGTACAAGTCTGATGGCGATGCTTGATGGAGTAAAATGTCATTGTCACTACACAGGCCTCCCCCTAGAAGGCCGAGGGACGAGGACTTCGATCGATGTTGGCTTGCAGATGTAAAAAGGCAGAATCATAGGAGTTCGTTAGTATTTAGATTATTTATTCTTCTTGTGGATTGGGATGCATCATCGGTGGGCCGTCCCAGCGGGCACACCGGACTACAAAATACTGGCTAATCCAGAAAAAGGGCCGGTAGGACCTTTCACCGCTGCTGAAAGACGGTGCGCTTGGGAGAGGTCACTCCCCCACCGCATTCCAATCCACTGCCACAACGAAGCTGTAATCCTGTTCGTACCGGCGAGCCGTGGGGGACCAAAAACAACGAGCCAAGCACACGAGCAGCCGAAGCCAGGAAGGCGAGCCAGACAAACGACCTGAGCGAGCCAAAATGAGCCAAACAGACCACGATCCACAGGCCAACGTGGGCGGGCGAGACGACCAAGCGTTAGGGGTAGACCAAAGCATCCAAACGACCAAAACAATTGAGAAACAGCCAACCGTTGAACGGACGGACCCAAACGTGCCAGCCTCATGACTTTACCTGATAGATGGGGAAAAACTCAGGGAGACAGATTCAGATATTTACTCTGCTAACGGAAAAGCATAATACAAACGACGAGAGAAAATGAAAAAGATTCATGAGGTGTGGATGAGTTCGACAAAATCGGAGAAACGAACAGGTTTACGAACTTTTCTACCGTGACTGGTATTAGTTTGCGGCGAATCTGATGACTGGGCTTGTGGTGGAGCTGAAAAGGTGGGCGTCGATACAGGTGGCTCTGTAGATTGCGTTAAAGTCGATGATGGAACAAACTGTTGTTCATCGATGAACGCAGGCTTGACGCGATCTATCGAGACAGTATCCCTTTTACCCCCACGGTCAATCACCAAAGTTTTTGAAGACCGTTTAATAACACGGTATGGACCTGTGTAAGGTGCGGAGAGAGGCTGTCTCACTTGGTCGACACGTAAGAATACGTGAGAACATGTAGAAAGGTCTTTCGGAACGTGCACTGGAGTGCGTTGTTCCCTGGGTCTCGCGGGGTGCAGCTGACGCATGTGGTGCGTCAGACGAGCTATGTAGCTCTTGTAGTTCCATGCCCTCTCCGGGTTGGGGCGACTAATTGTCCAGGGAGACGCAATGTGCAGCCATAAACGAGTTCGGCCGGAGCAGCGTTAATGTCGGTTTTGACAGTATTCCGTAAGCCAAGTAAAACGGTGGGAAGCGCTTCGTACCAGTCTGCGTTATCATGTGCACATAGTGCAGCTTTCAGCTGGCGGTGAAAACGCTCAACCATGCCGTTGGCGGCAGGGTGGAATGCAGTCGTTTGGACGTGACGGCAGCCGAGAGTCTGAAGAAGGTGAGCAAATGTGCCTGCGAAGTGCGAACCTCGATCAGTTGTCACAACGGCAGGACAACCAAAGTATGAGACCCATCGCTCTAGAAAAGCGCGAGCGACAGTGTCTGATGAGCAATCTGGCATTGGAATGGCATCAGGCCATCTTGTAAAGCGGTCTATACAAGTCAGCAAGTAAACGCATCCTTTAGATGGAGGCAGTGGCCCAACAAGGTCAACATGAAGATGGTGAAAACGGGCGTCAGGAAGTGGAAATGAACCAAGCGGACTTTTCGTGTGTCGATGAACCTTAGACTGTTGGCAACTAAGGCACGTACGAGCCCACTGTCTAACGTCCCGGTTGACGTTGCGCCACACGAAGCGTTGTGTGACGAGCTTAACTGTGGCACGAATGCCTGGATGCGATAAACTGTGAAGAATGTCAAACACAGTGCGTCGGAAAGCTTGAGGAACCACTGGTCGTGGTGAATTTTGCGAAACGTCGCAAAGTATGGTTCCATCCGAAGTAGGCAGTGGAACTGGTCGTATGCGTAAGGAGCTAGAGTTACGAAGCTGATCCAGCTCCGGGTCGGTCTGTTGAGCAGCAGCCATTGCCGCTAGATCGATACCTTCAGCGGACGTGATGGAGCTGACGCGAGAAAGAGCATCAGCGACGGAGTTCTGCACACCCGAGACGTGCCGTATGTCTGACGTAAACTGTGAGACATAGTCCAGGTGGCGTATCTCTCTCGGAGAGTATCTGTCGGATGACGAGTCGAGGGCGTAAACTAAAGGTTTGTGGTCAGTGAAGACGGTAAAGCTTCTGCCCTCTAGAAAAGGACGAAAATGACGGATGGCGAGGTAAACTGCCAGAAGTTCTTTCCCGAAGGTGCTGTAACGTGTCTCCGCTGGCTGCAACCGTTTCGAAAAGAAACCCAAAGGTTGCCATGTATTGTCGACAGCCTGCTGAAGAACAGCACCAACGGCCTCGTCTGAGGCATCAGTGACGAGAGAAATTGGAGCAGATGGTACTGGATGTGCTAAGAGAGCAGCATTAGCGATTGCGTCTTTAAGGTTTGAGAAGGCTAATCGCGCGGACTTGGTAAAAACAAACGAACGTTGATTGCCCCGAAGCAAGTCAGTCAAGGGCTGCATTATCCTAGCACAACACGGAATAAAGCGTCGATAGTAGTTGACTATCCCAAGGAAACGTTTAAGCTGTTTAAACGACGTAGGTTCAGGGAAATCTTTGATGGCGGTTACCTTTTGAGACAGTGGTTCAATACCTGTAGCTGAGATGCGGTGACCTAGGAACTCGATCGACGATTTTCCTAGTTCGCACTTGCTAGGGTTCAAGGTAACGCCTCGATCAGATAGGCGTTGGAATAGAATACGCAGATGCTCTAAGTGTTGCGACTTAGAGGCGCTAGCTACTAGGATGTCATCCACGTAAGGATATGCGAAGTCCAGACCACGAGTAACGTCATGGATGAACCGCTGGAATGTTTGAGCAGCGTTCCTTAACCCGAAAGGCATTCGAAGGAACTCGAATAAACCAAAGGGTGTTATAACTGCAGTTTTGGGGATATCGCAGTCCTCTACAGGAATCTGGTGATATGCTCGCGTCAGGTCTATCTTACTAAACACTGACTTACCACCGAGACTACTTGTAAGGTCCTGGATGTGCGGTATAGGATACCTATCTGCAACTGTGCACTTGTTCAGCGCCCGGTAGTCTCCGCAGGGCCGCCAGTCGCCGCATTTCTTGGGCACCATGTGGAGAGGTGAGGCCCACTGACTTTCGGAAGGACGGATGATACCAAGTTCGAGCATGTGCTCGAATTCCGCCTTAGCGGCTTTTAGCTTATCAGGGGCGAGACGTCGTGGCCGTGCAGAAACCGGTGGGCCACGGGTTCGTATATGGTGCGTAACGCTAGATGCGACCGGAAGCGTAGCGTCAGCTGAGTGGACCAGCTGCGGAAACTGTCTGAACAGATCTAAAAATTCCTTATCAGCTTCGGGCTGAATGTAAATGGGAGTGACAGAAACACAAGATGTGCGAACTCCACATGTGAAAAGCTGGGTCTTTTTGTCAACGAGTTTGCGATGACGCGTATCGACGAGAAGATCGAAGTGTTGAAGGAAGTCGATACCCAATATAGCAAACGGAACAGCAGCGATGGTGAAAATCCATCGAAAGGGACGTCGTAGTCCGAGGTCAATGGTAAGGGAGCGTTGACCGAAAACTCGGATAGCAGTGCCGTTAGCGGCACGCAAGTTGGTTGTCTGTGGCTTAGTCGCGTCGCCTGGAACCGGTGGGATCACGCTAACTTCCGCCCCGGTATCAACCAGGAACATGATCCCGGTGTTCCTATCAACGATTTTGAAGAGGCGACTTGGACGACTTCGGCCGACGACGTTCGTCGCCACTACGTGTCGGCCTGTCCTTTTCCCGTTACGGGAAATGAGCATGGTTTTATACAATTTCTAGCGGACCTTCCAAAACGTGCGTGATAACGGCAAATTGGGCGTCGTGTTCGTCTTCGAGATGGGCTAGGGGAACGGGATGGAGAATCCCGTTGGTGCCGATGTAACTTTAAGCTTTGAACTTCTTGCCGTAGCGCGGCTATCTCTGCTAAGAGCTCGCCAGTCGAAGGTGGAGTAGCGGTGTCGATGGTTTGGACCGAAGGGTCAGCAGTAAAACCTACGTCAGGTGAGCGAACAGAACTAGACGACGGACACGGTGGTCCGGTGAAACGATCCATCATGTCATCAGCAATATCTGCAATTTCTGACAAAGGCTGCGATTTCGCAAGCGATAGCATAGCTTGTACGTTTTCAGGCAAACGCTGAAGCCATAACTCTCGAAGCAGCGACTCGTCCATATGCGATCCTTGAAGAAGACCACGCAGCTCTAACAACAGCGCGGATGGCTTACTAGAACCTAGCTGTAGACCAGTAAAAAGTTTATGCAGGCGGGACTTCTCTGAGGGAGTAACACGCTTTATTACAGCGTTCTTGAGCAAATTGTAACGGTCAGGAGAACGAGATGTAATAATAAGATCACGTAGTGCTATAGTAATATCAGTTGGCAGGCGTGTTAGCAAGTGATTAAACTTTGCAGAGTCACTAGTAACATGCTTAGAAGTAAATTCAGCTTCTAAAATCATGAACCACAAGACGGGATCTTTTTCAATAAATGGTGGAACTACAAGAGATACCGCTTGCACAGACTGTGAGTCTTCACACTTTTTAGAAACTGAGGCCATGGCTTGCGTGGAAAAACCAAAGAAATGGAACGAACTCACCGGAATGCGATTGGGGTCACCAATTATGTAGCGCCTTGACGAATGCTACACAAGAAATCCGTAGCACAATAAGACAGAAGACGGCAGGATATAAAGAATGTCTTGAGAAAACAGCACAGTACAATAGCTATGTAAATATAGCCTGAGGACAGTGGGAGAAAGTGGTGAAGCAGAGTTACACCACGTCGGAGCGCAACAGCCGGCAACGCGCGGGCAAGATGGCGGACCAAGTTCAAAAATGCAGTCCGGTATATATAGGCTTTGGAGGAGTGCAAAGTAAAACAAAATGTGTACAAGTCTGATGGCGATGCTTGATGGAGTAAAATGTCATTGTCACTACAAGCACTTCCACAGGTTACCTCCATTGCAAAACAAATGCTACTAACGAACCATATGCTATACATGAATTCTCATATATTGCGGAAAATTAACCATATATATTAGCACTTATTTCATGTTACGAAAACATAGCACTGCCTTTCCTAAGTGAATGTTCACATTCCGTTTTTTGAACTACTTGCGTACGGTTATGTATCTTTGCTTTAAATTTTCACGAACACAATTAAGCATGGCACAGTACATTTTCCCGCCTTTTGGGGTAATTGAGCTCATTATAAATGCCTTCCGCACTAAGGTACTCCATTAATATCCATACATATAGAAAGCAGAAACTAATTGTCCTGATGAACAACAGCCGGTATTCAAAATTCCGCCATTGGCGGACTCCACGATCCTGTGCAAACGAGGATTAAAACTGGGAATAACCAGAAAACTTGCCAGTCAGCGCCAAATACGCTTTTGCTGGCACCACTTTAGTCCATTCAAAACACCTTGGATCATAGGAAAGACGATTCTAGTCAAATTTCGTTTTCAAGGAAGATGTTTTTAATCATGCTAATTGGTGACCTGAGCAGCACATCTCTGAGCTGACAGCTGACGCTATCCTCACTGGTGGATGGCCGAGGGTCTCATCTGAGAGTAGTTTGGTCACTCGTAAAGTAATGACTAAATGTTAAGAAACTGCACATTCACTGGATTTAACATCATAACAAGTAATGCTATTCAAATAGTGTTTCACCTTTGGTTATCCCCATACTGAAGGTTTGTTTAACTGTACCAGAGTCAATTATCGGACAATTTCTCGCCATTGCTATCGCGGCAAAAGATTGTAGTTATGCCTAGCCGACCTCGAAGACCTTAGACTGGCGGCTCTCGGTCTAACATCTATCGTCTCATGAAACCTGCTAACGGTACCGAAACACAGTACAAACCTACATTCGGTATACACTTGTTCTTTTGGTTGAAGCCTTCACATGTTTCCCTAATCAGGTCCTGACGGAGTGTGTGCCCCACGCTTTCCAAAAGATTTGCTAAAATGGCTGGTACTTCCACACAGCCACTAATGGATTCAGTAAACACTGTTCGTGCAGGTTCATATGATATACAGGCGCAATCTTTGAAGTCGATTATTGGTAAGTGAGTTTTCTAAACTCGTAAAATGCTTAAAGAAGTGTCTTCCGATTTACCAATTGTGAAATCAAAGCCGCAATCATCCATCCTTACTGCAATATGACGCGGTTTTGCGCATGATAGATAGTTACCACCTCGAACCCCTCGCGATGCACACTGAATTGCCGGGCGATTCGTGATCATTGCCGGGTACGCCAGGTAGATGCCCGCTTACGGTCGTTTAGGGTGGCGAGTACTTGCACGTTGTCCTAAGTACAAGAATAAGGCGCGTTTTGCAAACCAGTGGTGGTATGGTCATGTCGAATTTGCAGCTGCAGCTGCGCATAGATAGCCCCACCCTGGTTTGCAGTTCGAGTAAACATTTATGACCTGCTTTGACTTGCCTCACGGATTCGCCTTTACCCGTATTTATTGTCGAATTGTGTATCGGCTTGTCGAAACCTGCGGATGTACGTGAGTCTCTACGATCAACTGTTGCTGAGCTGAGAGATGGTATGGATTCTGGAATCCGTATAGCTCCAGAAGGTCCTTTGGTGACCCTAACTTTGAAGTGTGTGATTGCGGATGCTCCTGCTCGGGCATATATCCGACAAATAAAGCAGCCTTCCGGTTACTACGCATGCGAGCAATGTACCGTTGCTAGTTAGTAGTCAATTTCATTAACGTTTCAATAGCTTCCTATAGGTGTGCATTTGGAGGGCCAGATGACTACCCACTGGAAATGGATGCCATGCCGAGGAATGAGGATGCCGTCCGTCTGCGGTTTCACACCGAACGTCACGTTGGTGCTTGCCCCAAGCAGACACTTCGCTTTTACAGGATAACTTGTTTTCCTCTGGATTACATGCGCAAGGTTTGTCTTGGGTTCATGCGGCGTTTGATTAATTGGTGGCTCTAGGGCTCCACAACCACTGAGGTGCGCTTGTCCATCAAGCAAACATTGGAGGTGAACGCTAGGATGGAGCAAGGCCACAAGTCATTGTCTCAATTTCGTAGATGCAGGTCGAGAGAAAGCCAGAGAGTATCGGCAGTTCCTGTTGTACATTGGCCCGGTTGTAATGCGTGCCGTATTACGCTCTACTATGTACGATATCTTGAACTTCTCCTTGGTGATATATGTGATGCGCTGCAAGAAGTGGTGCGCATATTATTCCACTATGGCACAGTTAACGCTCCGTAAGACGGTTGTTCAGTTTGTTGACATCTACGGTCGCTAAGTTAGTGTGTAACGTCCATTGCTTACGGCTTTTGTGCGGTGACGTGCGTGAATTTGAACCACTAGACTACTATGTCGCTTGTCCATTCGAATCTTATATTCTCAAGTTGCGCCGCCTCGTTCGTGGTCCACATATGTCAGCGGCTCGTGCTTCGACGACACGTTGAGAAGGTTGCGTATTCGCAACTACCGTCGGACGGATAAGCTGGTGAGACCTCCGGCACGCCAGCGACACGCCGCTCTTGTACCGTGAACCAAGTTCCCGTCAGGGGTTAGGTGGGGACAGATGAGCATCCGGATAATGTCCTAATTGTTGGCAACAAGCCGTCAGTGATTGTCGACATTCGTAATACAATGGTGTGCGTGCAAAGTTGTGCGACACTTGAGGCCTACTGCCACAAATTTATTCAACATACCCCTCTGCGGATGTACAGACCTTCTCTGCTTCATCCCAAGCAAAAGTGGAGCTCGACCGGTTCCATTCAATGAAAGCGTTTCTCATTTTAGAAGTCGAGGAGATAAAAGTTCTATCCAATTGCTCCTAGTTGGGATGGAACAGCGGTTAGTAGCGTAAGTTTCATTGCATAGTGGCTGGTGTCATAATGTCTTATTAAAGAATTAATGGCTATTCTTTGGCTTGCATCTGAGTGTGTGTGGTGCACGCAATACACCGATGGTGGAGTGCAGAGCGACCCGCTTCATTAATATGTGATACCGGTGGAGGACTGAGCTACAATGTATATTGGAGTTCCGCAGTCTTGCCTCAAAAATTTCTGTGGTAAATGCCGTTTCCATAGGTACTTGATGTCACAACTTGCAGGTATGGTCTCTAATGACCACATGAATTTCAGTGGACACTACTATGCGGTTACAAATGTGAAGCTCGTCAGAATCCCGCAAACTACCGGCTAACTAGACGAACAACCTCGTGATGCCAGCTGGGTGGTTCGGGTTTTACCCGTTACAGCAAATTTTTCAGCGGCAGTGTTTCAGGAGATAGTGGGTTTCCGCCTGTCAAGCGTTCTCCCAATAAAAAGCCACCGATATCTGCCTAACAACACTGTGGCATGACTTTCGTGACTCGCCACGAAATAAAGGCACTGCTCTGTGGATATCCGAATACTCCTTTCCAACCCAAGGACACCAATCTTCTAGTTGCACAATGCTGACGACCACAAACATTAAATCATGGAGCAGCAAAATTACAACACAAACTACACAGCTAAATACATCCCAAGTACCTACGTACCTACCCCGCTACACAATCATAGGCTGTTTTGGCAAACATATCGGATTTTAATTCAAGCAGAGTGCCCATTTGTTACGTCAAGTTCAGAAAGAGAAACAAAACACGAAGCGTTAAGCGAACAATTATTGCTGATTAATTCTCCTTCGGACTCTCACAATAATACCGGATTCTTGCCCCTACTTGAGCAAGCGTTGTTATATCAAAAAAAGCATGCCTGTAAAGGCGTGTCTAGCCTTGTCGAGAATAAAAGCCTTATTTATTTAGTTATTTATCCGTCTGACAGCGATTATTTGTAAAATCATGGAAATAATCTTCAGAGACATAGAGCTTCACCTAGCGAACCAGCGTAACAGCTCATGCACTCACCCTGGTTTTCGGAAGACCCATTCCTGTGTCTCTAAATTGCTTGTTGCCAGCGAAGATCGAGCGAGCTGTCTGGACGCCTGTACTCGTCTGGATGCCCTTTCCGTCGACTTCTGCTAAGCAGTTGTCAAAGCTAGTCATGTACCTCTCCTTCCAAAACTCTGGGGCATTAGCGTTGCTGGGAAGCTTCTCTTCTGTCACTGACTTTCTGCATGGTAGGTTCATGCAAGTGAAACTTAACAATAACTGCTCCAGTCCTTTGTTTATGCTCGGCGGGGTCCCACATGGCTCTGTCCTTGGCCAGGAACTACAAAATCTGCACCAACATGCTTCCATCCGAGCTATAAACTGCGTACACCATATATACTGATGCTCTGAAACTAGGGCTAGAAGTGTCAAAGCTGTATGATGTCGACCGGCTACAAACAACGCTTGACCTTCGCGACGGTTGGTCAATGGAGTGGCGGCAACCCATGAACCACGCTGTGTTCCCTCTTCCCATTGATGCTTCGGATCCCTTTGGCGTTTAGCACATTGGGGCTCCTTGCGCAGGCAAGCAACCTTGGAGAAGGACCTAATGGTCCTTGTCCCGCAACGCCTACGCACGACTTAGGATACCGTAACGGAAGTTTCCGCAGATAATATGGTACTCTTTTCTATAAC